AGGCTGTCACAAGTTCCGATTAGATATTTCAGATATGACTTAACCAAAGGATTCCGAGTCAATAACTCCTATATTATTGCTTACTATAGATTCTTTTCTAGGAGTATTCATAAAATGAATGCAATATTTATCTTCTATTAGACGACTCTCAACAATTAGGAGTTTTTCAGATTAATCAAATTCGGCAGCCCTTATTAAATCTTAATATATCATTTTATTTTATATTCATAAAAATAAAAAATATTTAATTTTTTGTTAAGCTCAGGTTCTATTTTTGTCAATGAGTCATTAATTTTTCTTTGGTTCGATAAAACTAATTGTATATTTTAACGAGGGCTTTTCTACCCGTCCTGTGACCCTTGATTTCTCTATGCCTTCATTCTAAATTACAATCGTTCGTTGCTATTTTTGCTCATTTTTAGCTACGTTTCTAATTATATTTATTTTTGGCTTCAAGATTATCAACTCCTGCCTAATGAATGGCTGACAACTGCAAGCACGTTGCGAAAATTAAACCTGGCATACAGCTAGGAATTCTAAGCCCCGAAAGGTGGCACTGTAATGTTTGTAATACTACGGAAAGTGTCTGGGCGTGTTTATCTTGCAATAATGTAGCTTGTGGTAGATATATCGCTGAACACTCTCTGCAGCACTTTAAAGCCACATCTGTGAGTTCTCTATTTTTTATTCTGCCCTTTAGCACCCACTCTGCATAGAGGTCAATGAAAAATTTGTGTTTTGGTAAGCCTTTATTTTAATGACGCTTAAGCTATATATGCGATGATTTTGTACTTAATGACAATGCACCTGGAGATATAAAATTGTTGCGCATGGCTCTTGATGCGGTCGCTGATCAAGACTTTGATGAACTCTCAAAAAGAAAGCGTGGAAAGCGAATTCTAAGATCATACGTTGGTGAAGCTCAGAAGTAATTGTTTATTTTGTCCTCTAATAATTTAGAAAATCCCAGCGATTACTTAGAGCTGATGATATCCATACTGCTTTAGTTAAAAACAGGTAGGTATTATTCTTAAGCATATTTGCAGAATGTCTTGCTTATCGTGGGCTTTTAGACATTGGAACTCGCAATTTCTTAGAAAAAGGGTCAGTCATTTTTTTGCTTTATTTGGTAGCAGAATATTATTTTAAATGAGCCATCTGATGGTGAGACTTCTCTAAAAAGAAAAAGGCCCTTCAATTTGCACCCAGGATTTACTGGTTTGAGAAACCTGGGAAATACATGCTATATGAATTCCGCACTACAAGTTTTAAGGTAAGCAGCTTTGTAAATAATCATTTTTTCAGCCATACCGCTGCATTCGTTAACTTCGTCATTAGTCATGAGCCTTCGGAAGTTGTTTCCTTAACAAAAAAGCGGAAACGTTGTTCTCATTCGGCATTGAAGTGCTTTGAGGTAGTTGACTGTCCAGCTAAGCGTGCGGCCGTTAATGCCTACCTATCAGATCGGTCTAACAACACACTTATTGATGTACATAGTTCTAACGAGCAGGGATCCATTTCATCTGAAAATATCAGCCAGAATGGGACGACGGGAATTAATGCTTCCAATTTGCCTTTGGAACCCATCAGCAATTCAAGAATTCCTTCCACTTGCATAACGTCTTCAAAAAGGCCTCCTTTTGAATCTGCATCGACTGGTGGACTTAATGGTGGTTTTAGCAACTCCTTACAGACAGAAGGGACTCCTTCACTCATAAACTCTTCGCTTACAAATGTAATGAATCCAGGGTCCCTCAATCATTCTCTTTATGAAGAGCTCCATTCTCTGTTCCGTGTTATCTGGTCTGGCCAACGTGTTGTTGTCAGTCCCCACAGTCTACTGTATGCAATTTGGATGAGCTTGCCTGCTTTTAAGGGCTATAGACAGCAGGATGCTCAGGAGTTCTTAAGTGTATTCCTAGACAGGCTTCAGATGGAACTGCATGATGGTCAATTAAATTGGTCGTCCAATCAACACGATTTCGTCACTAGGACTTTTCAAGGATATTTGGTCAGTCATATTCGATGTGCAGTCTGTTCTCATAGTGCCTGTACAGAGGAACCTTTTTTCGAGCTTAGCCTTGCTCTTCTCCCCGCTGGGCAAACGGGTGAAATAAAAGAATGTAATCTGCGAGATCTACTTACGCAATTCACAAGTGATACTCCTATTGATGGTCGTTCATATGCCTGCCGTGTATGTAATAGCAGATTTTCAAAAGAAGCATCACAGCATAATGACTCTGTTAAAGGTCCTGGTCAAGATTCAGGTACCTTTAAGAAACATAGTGAGTAATGTATCGAATTCTGCATTTATTATTTCTCTTTATTGGCTATCTACATGCTAGACCTACATTAATGCTAGTTCTTCTTAAGTTGCTTAACCTTTAAACTCTGTCTAACTGCCTTTCTATCCATTCCTATTCTTATAAATTAGTGATACTGATAATTGTAATTTATATTTACATCAAGCCAATTGCCGATTTCTCTTTTATGCTTTTAAAGTGTATCATTACTTATTGTTTTAACAAAATTTTGTCTGGATCTTGGTCATATAACTTAATTTGTGGCATTGGGAGCTTATTGACACAAATTTGTCTATTTATTACTTAGATTCACAAGTGCAGGAAACATCCAGCTCAACCTTATTTAAGACTAGTCTTGACTCAAATTTTTTCGAGGAGAGTAGACCTCAAGATTCAGCGAACAAACTGGCGGCAGCCTCGGATTTTAGCCATTTTAAGGAATCTACAGAACAGTGCTCTTCTACTCTTTATACGCCAGCATCTCAAACTATACGAATAACGCGTCTTCCTAAAGTTCTTCGTCTCCATATTAAACGCTTCAGGTGAGTTATTCAAGATTTTTTATCTGCATTCTCCTTATTTTTTATTCAAATATACTTTATTACTTGGATTAAGTGTTGCGTCATAATATGTGAAAATGTTTCATACTTCCAATTTCTTAAAGAAATAATAGTGCTTCTCTTAAATTCTTGTTTTCTACCTGACTAGAGTATTTAAGGCTTTTTTAATTATTGACTTGTTGCTTATTATCGTAAATACTTGTGCATATTTGTGTTATTTATAGGCCTTGCGCTTATTGAAGATTCTTCCTACCATTTGAATTGAACAATCCAACTTTTTTTTGCCAGCATTTTGAGTATCATTTGCGTTGGTCGCTTCTACTTAACGACATTAAGGATATTAAGTCGGAATTAAAACTTGTTAATTGACATATTTTGCAAATAAATTGCACAGTTTTCGGATGTACAGGTAAAGACAGCTAGCTATAATATGATTAGCTTACTGTAAGCATAGAAGGTGCAGACATAAAACTAAACGCTTTTGATGAAAAGAAATGGTCTAACTAAATGCAACGACTGTGATTGGCCAAATATGCTTCTTACATAAATTGAGGTCGCGAAATCGTGATTTGCTAATTTGCTGTT